GGAAATAGTATTAACCACTTGCGCTAGAAAGACGTGCCACGCACGTCGAGATGCTTTTGTTCCAAAATCGCCAGCGACGTGTACACCACGTCGATAGGCATTTATCGCAGAAATAAAAATGACGTGGGCTGCACGTCGGCTAACAACCAGATCGTTCATTTCTCGAGCTACAGTTCCAGAGTGCACAGCGTTGCATAGTGTCATCGATATCTTGGAAATATTTCAGAATCGATACAGTATCTCGCGGCGTCAATGTGACACCTTACCGCATGTATACTGTAGCGCACGGCACCGCAACCGTGAGTATATTGTAAGCGCAAGTGATTAATGACGTGCTTTTATTAATGACTAATTGGCTCATCTGATTCGGCCGTTTCGCGATTTGCCTCCGTGAAAATTATGTCACTCTGCCGATTCGTGGTTTGCCTCTTGTGAGAACACGATTTCGGCTAGCTTGTTTCCAAAAACAATCTTCCATAACGGTATTAATTGATTTTCGATTCTTTTCTAAAGTAAGATCTTGCATCGGCATTGGCCGCTTTCCGATTCGTTTTTCTAAAAATAGCATCCCACGTTATTATTCAAAATAGTCCTGTCGTTTGTGGCAGTAATTAACCAAAATTGTAGCATTCGATAGTAATCGAAAGGAAAATGTGGGACCTCCAAATTAGGGTACTTAATCGGTCACAAACTATGTTCGCGAGGATTCTTCAAGGCTTCTCAACTCGAAACTCCCTCTGTGTCGCATAGGGCCCTATTTTTATGTCCTTTGCCGAGCTTGATGACGTGCTTTAACACTAGAACTACCAACCCAGTCGAAACGACTGGTCCCAAAATTTTCTTTTTTGCAATCACCGAACACATACACCTGCTTTAAGAATAAAATTGGTATCAACTCGTATTAAGAAAGAACTGTAATCGATATATTCACTCGTATTCAACGTACCGCTGAAATTACTATAATCTGTGCACGTTATAGTTAGGTACTCATTAAAGATCGGTAGTTCTAGTGTTAATCAATCGTTAATCGGCTGATACGATTCAACCGATTAGCGATTTTTCCTCGTGAAAATTTTATCACTTTGTCGATTCGCGATTTGTCTTTGTACAAATTACGTCATCTTGTCGATTCGTGATTCGCCCCCTGTAAGAATTAAGATTTGTTGATTTATTGACTTGTCCCACCCTCTAAACATATTACAACTCAGCCTGCTGCTAAGAATAGTCTTGCGTATCGGTAGCAGTTGATTTTCGATTTATTTCTGTTAGTGGAGGATGAAATTTAATAACAATAAGAACAATTATTTATTTAATTACGAAGATTATCAAACACAAATATTAGGTTGAAATATAATTAATTTATCACAATCACATGCTCACTATTAACACGTTTGTCGCCGTGTCACCCATATCTGGGTGATGGGTATGCTTCCGTGGGGGCCCCGTCACCCAAATATGGGTGAGGCTCTTCTTGTTCAAGTTAAATAGAATTTTCAGCTGGATTTTTAAAAGGAATTTAATGAAATAAGCACTGAATTATAAATATAGGATATACAACATAAAAATATGAAAAATATACACATTATACTATACCTTTTATTAATTTATATTTAGGATAAAATATTACATTATACTATGTCGCATGGTATTCGTTAAAACAGTCTAAACACATTTGACGTGATTTTGGACAATTGGAACAATAGGTCGTAGTTCTTTTACATTTTTCGTAATTGTCTGTCAATATGTTTATGACTGGTAAAACTTTACCAAGTCTGCTACTATGTTCTATCGTTTGGTTATTTGCAAAATGCAAGTTTGCTGATAGTAATTCAAAACGATTACAGGAAATGGAAAATTGTAAATAGGGTCCGTTGACCAACATCTAACGAGCGCTGTCTGTACTAGACCCATCCAAACCATCAGTCCGATAACGTTCTAGCGCTCAGACAGTAGGATTTGGGCCCCGCGAGAAACTCAACCGAATCGCGTTGGGCGACAAACGTGTTAATATTCAATTGCAAATGACGTATGCCAAATCACTCTCCTTTTTTTCTTTCTTCTTTCATACATTACATTGACATACACAATTCACACAACACCTCAATCATTACACGCATACTCATTCCAATACATATATATTTAAAAATCTGTGTAACCATTACCACAGTTTTTTAAAAATAAAATTGTAAATCGGGATTGCGCGATTTATGATTTATTTTTTGTAAAATAAGACCATGCATTGGCATTGGTCGATGCTTTGAATATTCATAGAGTACGCGTGTACCTTAAATGGATAAGCTATCGATATTCAAAGTCGATTTCCTTCACAACGAAGCTTCGAATGAAAAAATTTTATTTTTGATTTTTGATTTGTCTCTTCACGTAGAATTACCTTTCTCTCGGTTGTACTGTCGTTGCTGGGACACCCTGTATATGTATATAATACGAGTATTAGTAAGACTATAATGCAATAGTTCTTAACCAGTGCTCCGTCAGGCCTGTTGTAAGACTTCCAAGTTCAGGTATTATATTAAGATCGGTTCAAAGAAGTATTACGAGAGTATTATACTTCCTTACACTTTCTAAAAGAATAATATTTTCCTATCTTTACTCTTATACAATCTGTAATACAACTGCAATTTTTATAAAAAAATATGTCAAAAAACGTTTGCCAACGTTTGTTACCAGATAAATATGATCTGGGAATTTTTAATATTCCCTAAATTTGATTTAACATCAAATGTGTTACGTATATTTTGAAAAGAATAACTGCTATAATACATGCAAAATGTTCCGAAGAATAATCTGCTTATGGAGATTAAAATTGTGTTAATAAAAAAAAAAGAAGAAAATTGGAGTATGGTAATTTTTGCAACGCGTTTTCAAAGTATAGGAGAAATTAATTGCGAATAAATGGCGTGAAAGAAGAAAATTTTGAATTATGCCATAAGTTAATTAGAAATTAACAATTATTATCCATAAGTTTATGTTCCGAATTAGAGTGAAACGTCGATTCTGAATGTCAATTATGCGAATTTTTATCATACGAGAATAACCAATTATCCAAACACGAAGAACGCATATTCTGCATTAGAATGGGTAGAAGATTAGAAAATAATAGTCGTTGTTTAAATATCTATACTTATCTCATACTTAATTTATTTTTTATTTCGTAATTTTATAGTTGACAATTTTTTTATTTCTCGTTGATTTATGACACAATTCAAAATATGCGTCTTTTGGATCGATTATCTGAACAGGCTTGTCTCCTAATTCGCATAATCTACCTTATACTGTATCATTATCTGCGTCCACTTATGACTGCCACTATAGCGTCCTTGAATCTAGATATTTCTGATTCTCAATTAATTTCAAATTTTCGGTTTAATATACACACAGAAGTGATTTACTTTACATTCGAATAATCGGTCATTCGCATAATCAAAATTCGCATAATTAACGTTCTACTTTATCATTATCCGCGTCTATTCATAACTGTCACTAGAGCGCCTTCGAATCCTGCTATTTCTGACTCCCAATTAATTAAAAATTTAATATTTAACGTATACACAGAGGTTATTCACTCTATATTCGAATAATCGGTCATTGGCATAATCAAAATTCGCATAATTAACGTTCTACTTTATCATTATCCGCGTCTATTCATAACTGTCACTAGAGCGCCTTCGAATCCTGCTATTTCTGACTCCCAATTAATTAAAAATTTAATATTTAACATACACAAAGGTTATTTACTCTACATTCGAATAATCGGTCATTCGCATAATCAAAATTCGCATAATGGACATTCTATTGTATCATATCTGCGTCTATTCATAACTGTCACTAGAGCGTCTTCGAATCCAGCTATTTCTGATCCCAATTAATTTCAAATTTCGGATTTAACATACACACAGAGATTATTCACTCTACATTCGAATAATAGGTCATTCGCACAATCGATGTTCTATTGTATTATATCTGCGTCCATTCGTGACTATCACTATAGCGTTTTCGTACCTAGGTATTTCAGATTCCTAATTAATTTCAAATTTTCGAATTAATATACACACATAGCCAGTAATATACTAACCTAAACCTGACCTAACCCAGAATATTACATCAGTTGCGAATAATCATTATAGGTGGCGAAAACTTTATATCGATTACAAATAACAGTCATCGACAATCGGAATCTTATTTCATTATTTCCATTCTGTATCAGAAATGCACAGAAATAAAATAATTTTTTATTTTGGAAAGGACACGTTAGTTTAACTTAAATCAAATTTTCATCATCGATAATGATTATACGCAACAAGCATAGAATTTTGGTCGTCGATAATGGTTATTCTCAAATAATACAAAATTCAAATTTAATTTCTGATTCCTAATTAATTTCAAATTTTCGATACAACATACACAGATGTGATTCGCTCTATATTTGAACAATCGGTCATTCGCATAATCAAAATTCGCATAATTAACGTTCAACTGCATCATTATCCGCGTTTATTCATGACTGTCACTATAGCGTCTTCAAATCCAAGTATTTCTGATTCCCAATTAATTTCAAATTTAATATTTAACATACACAAAGGTTATTTACTCTACATTCGAATAATCGATCATTCGCATAATCGACGTTCTACTATACCACGTCGTAAGAGGGACGATTGTACCTATAGATGGACGACTCCAACGATAAATCGTTAACGATTCTACACCCACTTCTCTATGGACGAGTTCACCGATAAATCGGTTACGGTAATACTTATGTATGTAAATACACATCGATACGTGAGAGCATTCATCGGTACCGTTGCAAGCGGAAGGAAACAATCGAAGAAAGACATAACCTCGACATGGGAGACAGCGTCACGTTTCGTAGACGTGGAAAGATTAACGAGTAACTCGAACGATCGGTTCCCTCGATTTGCTCGATCGCAAGATAGACACAGTATCGAAAGGCACGGAAAACGAAGCTCGGAAAAATGAAAATGTCTGGAGAGAGGAAACAGGAGGACGATTACGAGGATATCACGTTGTGCCATCGAATGACCATCTGCCATCCTCTGATACGAAACATAATCATAACAGAGCCCGTCTTCAAGTATCTGGGCCGAAGCTTGACCTGGGCTAAGTTGTTCCAGGTCACGACTGTCGTGATGATGACGTCGTTGGGTTGGGCGATATTGTACTTCATCCTGGGAGACACCATGTTACCCACCAACGATGGCTTTGGTCTATTCGTCCTCGCCATATTTTCTTCCTGCCTCGGTAGTTGGCTGCCATTGATCCCCTACCTCAATCTTCCACCTGTTTTCGGGATGCTAGTCGCTGGCCTGATCGTTCGTAATAGCGGGCTTTACAACATCCACGAAGAACTCGGCGAAGTGACTACCTCTAAGATCAGAACCTTCTGTCTCACGTTTATCATGATAAGAGCTGGACTTCAGCTGTCGACCACTAGCCTCAAGGAACATCCGATCTTCATACTGATCTTGGCCATCGTTCCTTGCTCGATCGAGATGCTCGTCCTAGCGATTTACTGCAAGTACATTCTGTCGTATCACTGGGATTGGTCCATCATGACTGGGTGAGTGACCTAAGTAGATGACTTTCCCTTCTTTCTCTGTTTAATTTCTGTTTTATAGGGCCTCGACACCGATTTTAGCCCTTTGCACTCGGAGATCTTTTCGTTGCAGAAAAATAGTAATTCGAAGACTTTCTGCCATAAAGTCGACGATATTTTTAAAACGGTAAATGAGAAATCATATGCAAATTATTTTGCTTCAATATTGCACGCATCGATGAGTAATTGTAAATTTGATGTATTAATTAACATCCATCTTTAGAATCTGATTAAATGGCGACTGAGAGGCGTCTCTCGAGTGCAAAGGGTTTTATATACGTATATTTTTAGTGTTTTTCTTTTTATCACATGTGTGGAAATTGGATTTTAGATTCGAAGATGTTAGCCAAAAATAATAGTAATTAGTAACGACGTTTATATAAATATCTCCCCTTTTTGTAATGGTATGAAATATATTTTTATATGCAATTTATGTGCTAAGAAAGAGATTAATATACTGCAGAAATAATTTTTCAGAGTTTTCGAGGTCATCGATGTTTTTTCGTATATAAGTGTACATTTGTCCGTGTCGTGTCGTATAACTGATGCTAAAACACGTTCAGATGTGTACAACGATGTGATCTTGAAATGAGCTTAATTCGTCATCAAAATTGCAAATTTCAGTAATATTCAGTGATAATTCCCGAGAATGTATATAAATAATGTTCACTGTTAAGTATATATATTAAGTATAAGTGACTTTAGAATACTTTGGTCAAGATTTGATTGAATGTAATAGTAGCTATAATTTTTGGTTCAAATCTTCGAAACCGAAATCAAAATTTCGCACACTATTGTAAAGGAACAGTTACTCAAAATGTCGCCTCTGACAGCGAATAGTATTGCATTCGAGAATATTTTCGGTAGAGAAAAATAGCGATTCAAAAATTTTCTGCTATACAGTTGACAATATTTTTTAAAATAGTAAATAAGGGATCGTATAAATATTGCCAAGTAGAATTATTTTATTTCTATATTTCACGGATTGTGAAGAATAAATTGTGGTAAAATAAGGCCATTTTAACATTGCCTGGAAGTGAAAAATTTCTTCGGGACCTTTAAGAGCATCTTCCATGGAACGAAAGATTCCTGTCTCACTTTGATGAGAAACGACGGGAATGTTGTCAAAAATGAATCAAAATATGTAAAAATGGGACTGATCGAACATACCCAAGCGTCATCTCTCGTCGTCCTCCTCTTCGGATACTGAACCATCTTCCAAATAATTAGCGAGGATTTCAGCTGACAAATGAATCGAAGGTTTGAATCGAGCAAACTCGAAATACCATATAAGCATTGCTACGTGGGAACAGCACCCAACAACGCGTTACCCAACTTTGCATCCACAGCTGGGTGCAAGAACGACTTTACTTTTATCTATTAATATTGTAGGATGCCAAAAACAGGTTTTACCGTATTCGGCGTACAGGAATTAAATATTGATATGTTCCATCTATAATCGAAGGAATATCAGGTCTGCGTGAACGACTTGAGACACCGAAAACGGACAGAACAGTATGAACAGAATAATACGAACGCTAAACTCGGAAAACTAATTTAACGCAAGAAAATAACACTAAAATAACGTAACTATAACACACGGAAACACGCTCTAATTAGACTCTCTCCTACACCGAACGACTCACGTAGGTATAGGTCACAATCTATTTCAACGAGGACTCTTCGACGCTTCTTCACTCAGGACACTCCCTGTGTCATCGGGGGTCCTGTTTTCATGCTTTTTGCAAAGCTCGATGGCGTGCTTTCTCCAATCGCTAATTGGCTGATATAATTCAGCCCATTAGCGATTTGCTCCCATAAAAAGCACGTCATTTCCGAGATTCGCGATTCGCTCCTCGCGACGATTACAATTTCGTTGACCTGCGTTTCACCTCCTCGTAAAGACCAAGCAACTTAGCTTTGCTACCAAGAATAGTCTTTCATAACGGTATCGGTTTCGATTTGCTTCTAGAAACATGTCACGCATAGATCTTTGACCGATTTATAATTTGTTTTTCCAAAATAAGAAATCCCGAATCTGCATTGGCCGATTCGCGATTTCTTTCCCGAAATAATATCATACAATACGTATACAAAATATTTTAAAGTATTCGAATGTCGTGGACGCAGTTTCGTTTTCAGTAAAATACTGTTATTTTGTTCTACGGTGACTTGGCATTTTTGATAATCTATGCGATACGATGGTGATGCAATTTGGAAATCGAAATCTCCATTTTATATAAGCATAGATCTTCGTAACTCAATCTTGATAAGAATCTAATTCACTTCTATATGTTGGAAATCTGCTCGCCGTATGTCCATGTTTTCTATATGTACCCGTTGTCCCAAAGGATTAATCTGATTCGAATATTGGAAAATCCTGTCTATAATTAAGTGATCAAGGGCAGAGGTATGTATTGGATGAAACATTGCGTTTAGAATGGCACAAGCTATTTCGAAGTCGTGAAATCAAATGGGCAATGTAATATTTTGGATACATTTATAAAACAGCTTTTTATGCGTTCATTAATTACTTCGACCATAACCAATTTTCTGTAACGAGTCGTGATTGATTGGCTCGTTCAACTGTCAATGATTTCCGAAGTCCATCTGCAAACGATGGCATTTTAGCGATGAATTCTCTTCTCGTGACTTCCTCCAGAGAGTCTCAAAAACCACGGTCCACGAGGAAAACATCGTGCGCTTCAAATTGATTGCACGTATCGGTTTCTAACAACAGTTCATTTGGAATTGATGCATTATTTTTAGACCCATGATGTAGTCCCTAAATATTCGCTATATAACCGTCCATATAACCAATCACTGACCCAGTACCGAAGTGGAAGATGACGAAACATGAGGCTCGAGTATGTTCGATCAGTCTCATTTTCGCATATTTCTACTCATTTTTGACAACTTTCCCATCGTTCCTTGGCAAAGTGATAAAGAAATTTTTCATTTCGAGGCGATCCCGAAAATGGCCTTTTTTTAACATCCTCCTTTTCGAATATTTCTTACAAGTATCATATAAAATCAGTAATATCTTTAAAGGCTTATATCTTTTAACAAATAATTTCCCGATATAAGTTTATATGAACTTCTTTCATCAATTTGATCTCAATCACGTATAGTCTAAGTTTGATTCGAACCTTTTTGGACACCCTGTATAACGTCTAGAAGTCGCTGGAAGAACACTGAGAATCGTGGAGCTTGCTGTCATTTTGTATCACACTGTAAATATGCACAGTAAATATCGTAAAATGAGTAAAAGATGCTTAAAAGATGCTCTTAAAAATCCTGAAGCAATTTTTCATTTGCAGGCTATCCCGAAAATATCCATTTTCTAACATTCTCCTTTAATCTATTAATTAATATCGACTCCTAGCATTTTATTAAATGGCGACTGAAGGTAGCCTCTCGAATGCAAAGGATTAATTCACTGAAATTGAAGTTGAGGTTCTATTAAACAATTACCCTTTCCTTTTACCTGTTTCTTATTCGTGTGTTTCCTTATTTAGTTTTTATCTGCTTTTATTTGTTCTTTCCCGTGCTGGCCCGCGCAAAGAACGATACTCAGCTGCATGTCGCCAGTGGTGACCGTGAACTGTCTGCTAGCTTTGGCCGAACAAGGTTACGGCGAAAATAAAGGTCTTACGACGATTCTCTGCACTGCTGCTTGTATCGACAACGTGCACATCGTTTCCCTGTTTGCTGTGTGTTACTCGATCGTCTTTGCCAAAGGTACAACGCGTCGCGACGCTCGGCTTAGGGCCAGTTTACATGGTCCGTTCACACACGTAGTGCTACCACGTCTGTTGGCGAAACGAAGAAAGACACAGCTCTTTCCTCTGTATAGCGATGAGACTCGAACACCATCAGACATTATCGAGTACAGCGTTTTGACTGATTCCACGCAGATTAAAACTGTTCGAACGTGTTTGAACGCGGGAGATGTTCCTAACAAAGGAAGTACAAGTCCTTTGGATCATAGACTTAGTTGAAACTTTGCAGGTTTGTAGATTTAGTCGTCCATGTTAAAGGGGTTATAACGCAAAGAAATGGTAGTCAGTGGAAACTATGGAAAAACTGTATAGATCTTTACTGAACGGGAAAACGGTTAGAACTCGCCTGTTTAGGACCACGGAGATCAAAAGTCGTCTTCAGAAGATTGGAGACAAAAGTCAAAACGCAGGGGAAGGGATCAACCCCACACCGCTAGGATGTAGAGTCTACTTTACTATTTAATTTTACTCCAACAATCCAGTGCAAGAAAATATATCATTATAAGGGCAACTACTCGATAGCTTTCGAGATATTCACGATATGAATTTCATTATTGTCTTAACACATCTTAACACACCGTCGGTCCCGTGAAAACGCGGATTTCTGAGTCTGTCTCTCGAGCCTCGGCCCCGAGATAATGCGGGTTTGTAAGTTTGTCACTTAACTCTCGCCTTCACGATGAGTTACACATCAATTTGTATTCACTTGTCATATTTACGACGATCTGCATTTGTTATATTCCAAAAATTTGTACGACGTCCATGTAAAGTTTGCTCTGCTAGTAAAAAAAGAAGCGAGAGCAGCTTTATGTGTGCTCGATTCCTAGTACCTTATACAGGTAGCCCTCCTACAACACGGAATCCAATAACACGGTTTCGCTATAACACGTTTCATAAATTGCGGGAACCCCCCTACAACACGGCATCCTATAACACGGTTTCGCTCTAACACGATAAGAAAATTGCAAAAACCTTTGTACAATACTGTACTTCTACATAAATTTATTAAATTAAGGTTTCGTTAAATGAAAATAATATTTTTGCTTTTCTTTTATTTTCTGTCGTACGTACATTTATATTTTTAATGAAAATTAAGTTGTTTATGTGGAATTAAAAAAAATTTGTTTTCAGCAAGTTTTCGAAATTTAACCCCCCTTTTTGTACTGGCTCTGGGTCTCATACAACACGGTTTCACACAACACGACATTTTCTAGGAACCTATCTACCGTGTTATAGGAGGGTTACCTGTATATGACACGAAGGACTTACACTCTCCTTGTAAGAACGACGATGACGAACGTAGATGACTAGCCGATGACTGATGGCGTAGGTGGATTTATTTGAACTTGCTTGATCATCACTGACCGATGAGAATGCTTTCGAATTTCTTGGATCGTGTTGTAAACGGATCGTGTTTGAACGGATAATGTAAACTGACCTTCACGCTTTCATCATTCGCTATGATTTAATTACGAGAAATTGTAGTTCGTGAAACTATTTCATTTTAATTAGTCGTTATATGGCTACTTCATTGGCAATAAAATTATGTAAATTTTTAGGATCCGTGCGAATTTTGCGCACGATGAAATACGCTCGACATAATTTTAGCGTATTGCGAGAGTAATTCATTTTTATGGCGCTTAGCATGAGAAACTCGCGAGGAGTTAAACTCGTTATTGGAGTATAGTGGGTTAAAGGGAAGTTATAGTAATTATGTAGATTAGCGTACGCCTGTTTCGATGATTTCGATGATACTGTGTTTTCGGTGTGATGTAGAAATCAATGTTTCGAAAAATTTCCTTTTGGTAGACGTTATATCTGGCTTGGTCTACGTTTCCAAAATATTCTCAAAAGAATTTACGATATATGTGTATTATTATCGAAATTGCAGGTGGTTAATTAGTTTCAGAGAAATGTGGGTTGGAAGTTATAGTTCTATAGATCCTAAGAGTCAGAGGCCGTAACTGTTATGACAAAAATGCGAAAAGATTGAAGTGTAATCATTATACCTTTTACTTCAAATGATTTTCATTACTAATTAAATTATTAGTAATTTAATAGTAATTTTCATTACTAATTAAATAAATCCTTATCGAATGATTATAAGGGATTAAAACATTGTTTGGTTGCCAATAATTACCAATAATATTTTATTAAATATCCAAAATACCAATAATATTTTATTAAATATCCAAAATATCAATAATATTTCATTAAATAATTTCATCAAATAATTATTTCAAATGAAGGAAATTATTTTGGCGAATAACTATTATTAGTAATACAATTATTATTAATATTTTTACGAATAACTGTTATATAATAGTTATATAATATAATAACATTGCGAATAACTATTATATAACTACTATTGATGACCAGAATTTTGTATTACTTGAGAATAACCATTATCGGCGACCAAAATTTTATGCTTGTTGCGTATAATTATTATCGATGATGAAAATTTGATTTAAGTTAAACTAACGTGTCCTTTCCAAAATAAAAAATTATTTTATTTCTGTGCATTTCTGATACAGAATGGAAATAATGAAATAAGATTCCGATTGTCGATGACTGTTATTTGTAATCGATATAAAGTTTTCGCCATCTATAATGATTATTCGCAACTGATGTAATATTCTGGTTTAGGTCAGGTTTAGGTTAGTATATTACTGGCTATGTGTGTATATTAATTCGAAAATTTGAAATTAATTAGGAATCTGAAATACCTAGGTACGAAAACGCTATAGTGATAGTCACGAATGGACGCAGATATAATACAATAGAACATCGATTGTGCGAATGACCTATTATTCGAATGTAGAGTGAATAATCTCTGTGTGTATGTTAAATCGGAAATTTGAAATTAATTGGGATCAGAAATAGCTGGATTCGAAGACGTTCTAGTGACAGTTACGAATAGACGCAGATATGATACAATAGAACGTCCATTATGCGAATTTTGATTATGCGAATGACCGATTATTCGATTGTAGAGTAAATAACCTTTGTGTATGTTAAATATTAAATTTTTAATTAATTGGGAGTCAGAAATAGCAGGATTCGAAGACGCTATAGTGGCAGTCATGAATGGACGCGGATAATGATAGAGTAGAACGTTAATTATGCGAATTTTGATTATGCCAATGACCGATTATTCGAATGTAGAGTGGATAACCTCTGTGTATACGTTAAATATTAAATTTGAAATTAATTGGGAATCAGAAATACCTAAATTCGAAGACGCTATAGTGACAGTCATGAATGGACGCGGATAATAATACAGTAAAACGTTAATTATGCGAATTTTGAATATGCGAATGACCGATTATTCGAATGTAAAGTGAATCACCTCTGTGTGTATATTAAACCGAAAATTCGAAATTAATTGGGAATCAGAGATAGCGAAGTTCGAAGACGCTATAGTGACAGTCATGAATGGAGGCAGATATGATATACTAGAACGTCGATTATGCAAATTAATTGGGAGACACATCTGTTCGGATAATCCGGTTATTCGGATAATCGGTCTGAAAGAAGGAAATTTTAAATTATGCCATAAATCAACGATAATTAAGAATTTTAACAACTATCAATCTCCTTTACGCGCAAAGATACATATCTAATAAACAAAGTACAGGATAAAAAATAAATTACGTATAAATTAAGTGTAAACATTTATATAACGATCTTTTTCCTCGTGTTTTACTCGTTCTGATGCAATACACACTTTTTATATTCAGGTAATTAATCTGTCGTATGATCGAAACTCGCGTAATTGCCGTTCCGCTGTAATGATTATTTATAATCAAAAAATATTTGCTTAAATTATAACGATTATTTGTGACGAATTAACATTCCATTATTTGTAACATTAACATTCAATTATCGTCATCGATAATTATTATTCATAAGTAAAAATAATAGTAATCACTTATAAACATTAATTAGTAATCATAAAAATTAATTCTTTTTAGTTAATGCTTTTTTAAAAATTTTGTTAGAATTTAATGAATCGTTAGTGCGAATAAAAATGAATTTATTATCGATGATTTTTTCCTCGCAAATTTTAGCATTCCATTATTTGTAACATTAACATTCAATTATCGTCATCGATAATTATTATTCATAAGTAAAAATAATAGTAATCACTTATAAACATCAATTAGTAATCATAAAAATTAATTCTTTTTAGTTAATGCTTTTTTAAAAATTTTGTTAGAATTTAATGAATCGTTAGTGCGAATAAAAATGAATTTATTATCGATGATTTTTTCCTCGCAAATTTTAGCATTCCATTATTTGTAACATTAACATTCAATTATCGTCATCGATAATTATTATTCATAAATAAAAATAATTGTAATCACTTATAAATATTAATTAGTAATCATAAAAATTAATTCTTTTTAGTTAATGCTTTTTTAAAAATTTTGTTAGAATTTAATGACTCGATAGTGCGAATAAAAATGAATTTATTATCGATGATTTTTTCCTCGCAAATTTTTGACATAATTGTTATTTTTGGACTGAAATAAATGATTGATAAAATATCGGTTTTCATTCATACTTGATATCATTATCGTACAAATTACAAAATAAATTCTTAAAAATAAACGATTGGAAAGTTCCAATTTTTATGCATTTTGGTTATAATTAACCATTAAAAATAATTGAAAATTATTTTTGATTCATCAATAATAACTATTATAGGCGATGGAAATTATATTTGCTGACGAATAACTATTATTATCGTCACGATTTTATTTTAGATATCGGTAATCAATATAGTTAGTTTTAGTCGTTATCAATTATTACTATTATGCATAGTTAATATCCATCAATGGCGTACAATCAGTTGTAGAATATGATAAACAATAAACAGTATGAATATTTATGAAAAAGAATGAAATAAAAGAAACCGTGTTTTGATATTTTTATTGCAACATATTTATGATA